GCGGAGCCAAGGGCGACAGGTCGGCGAGAGGAGACGCGGGGACTTTGAGTGCGGGTGAGGGCGGCGCAAGAGGGCGCGAGAGTATAGGCCCCGGGTTTATGGGACCTGCCGCGGGTTTAGGACCAGCTCTGCCGCGGGTTTAGGACCCCGTGCTGCACGCGGCGCTACGCAGCCCAACAACGCCGGGGGGGGGGGGGGCTCCCATTTGACAGCAGCTCCGGGAAGACGACAAACTAAAAAGCAGCAGCAGCATCACAGCCTCTTGCTTTTTGTCCTCGCGTCGCCATCAGCCAGTAGTCCAGAGTACCCCCTTCCCCTCCATCTTATTCCCGGCAGAGAGGAAGAAAACGATAGAGCGGAGGAAAGGGCCTCCAGACGACTCTGCTCAGCCGGAGCAGCCCGTGTGCGGGTGGCAGCCGCGGGGGTGTGAAAAAGTGGGATGACGGGGGTGACAGGACAGGGGCGGCGGTGTGCGCGCAAAATTGCTGTGAAAACAAACAAGATGATCGCGTCTCCCTCAAGGCAAAAGCAGTCGGATGACTCGGTCGCACAACTCACCACTGCCAGCGCAAGCTCCTTATTACACCGGCCCCCCTCCCTCTCGCTCGCACTTGCCACCAGGTACAGAAAAAGAAAGGGCGCAGCCGGTAAGAAACGACCAAGTCGCTGGAATGAATGAATGACGTTGCAGTGTACGAAGGGACACCGAGAAAGGGTTGGGGGGAGGGGGAAGGGGAAGGGGATAGGGAAGGGGATAGGGAAGGGGAGGAGGAAGGGGATAGGGAAGGGGATAGGGAAGGGGAGGAGGAAAGGAAGGAGGAAGGGAAGGAGGAAGGGAAGGGGAGGAGGAAAGGAAGGAGGAAGGGAAGGAGGAAGGGGAGGGGGAAGGGGAGGGGGAGGGGATGACCAACGAGGCTGGCAGGGCTGGCAGGATGAGGCAGGGAAGTCCCGTGCGACGACAGCGCGCCAAAGATTGGGCTCATTGTTCCTGTCAAACTATCCCAGACCGGACGGGATGGGCCGACAGGCCGAGCGCCCGCGCGCCCGCGCTCACTCCCTCCTCCGGGCGGCGAAGGTGAAGGTGGCGAGCGAGGTGAGGAGGTATGAGTCACTGTCTGGCGGCGGCGCTGGAGTGGGCACGGCAGGTGCAGCCGCGGTGCAGCGCCTCTCGGAGACACCCGCTCTCTTGGCTCCCGAGTTCAGCTGCACCGAGACCACGTCCCACGCGGGCAGGCCAGCAGCAGCCGGTGACATCGCAAACGGCATCGCGCGCGAGAGATGACGAACGACGGCCACGTTGTTACTGTTGCTGCCGACGACGGCATCCATCATCCTGGAGAAGCAGCAGCAGCTCGCCCTTACCTTTGCTTGGAACGTGATGCCATGGTGGAAGGCCTCGTCCGAGTGCAGCGGGATCCTCGTGTCGCCCTCGTCGTTCGGCACCAAGTTGTACTGCTTCTTGGACGGCATGGCGTCGTCGTCGTTGTCGTCGTCCGGAGCCGCGTCGCGTTAATCCCATGCACTTGTGACACGCACACTACACACACACACACACGCACTTGCACTGCACTTTAGACCACCGAGATCACGCTCTTCGGGAGGAGCAGCACCATGACGCCAGTGGCGGCGGCGGCGGCAGCAGCAGCGGCTGGTGGTGGGCGGCGTCCTGGTCGCACGGGCACGGCGTCGTCGGCGTGCTCGTCTCGACCCGCCCGCTCGCACACACACGCTTACACGCGCGCACACACACACACTCACACACGTACGCACGAACAACGCGCGCTGGCTCGCCTTTCACTGGCGCGGGCGGCACGGCGGCGGCGGCGTGGCTCCGACCGCGTCCAAACCAACACTGACGGCGCCGCGCGGCTCTGGGTCTCAGTCTCCACTCAGTCGACAGTCGACGCCGGCTCGCCGCTCGACTCGGCACGGCCCGGCTCCGAGCCCGCCCGCCCCTACTACCGCCCCGAACCACAACGAGCACCTGTTGGATGCAGTGTGTCGTGTGGGCGGTATTATTCTCCTGTCCTCCATCTCTCTCATCTCCCCTCGCCGCCCTAATTAAAAGAAGAAGAAAGCAACTTTGAAAGAATTTTCGAAATATGAAATTAAAACTAGAATGTTGTAGTGCATGGCGATTAGTTTTATTCCTTCCACAAAGTTCATATTTTATATGATGCAGTTACAGTTGTACATGAAATTCATCAGAAATTGGAAAATACATTCAAATTTATTCTAATCTTAAAGAATGGAGTAAACTTGCCTAGTCATTAAATTGGGAAAATGGTCATCCAGTCGTTTCCTTTTCGCCATTTTCCCCAACGATCCCTTCAAACACAGTCTTCAATCGGTTCTTCAGGAGAGTACTTCCCTCATTGAGTGGAGCTTTGGATACAATTGAGGATAATTGATTAAAATTTTCCAACTCAAGAGGGATTTGTCCTATGAGGCTCATTACGTCTGGTAATATATCCATTCCCCCTCTACTCCACACTTCTGCTGGAAATTGGCTTAGGAGATGTAAACTTTCTTCAAGAACCTTGACATAGTTAGGTGTTTTTAGTTCTGGTAATACTTTTAGCTGTAACCAAAAAGAAAATGTGCAATGCAAC